ATATCTTTCTGGAATAAAAAACTGTTGGAAACAAAAGTCATTAAATTTAAGAAGGATGAGCCCAGATTTGGATATGCATCCAAGCAAAATTGTTGGTAACAAAAGTCATCTGCATTTTTAAATCATAGAAACGAAAAACAATACATTTAATCAGCCAATCAGCCATTAATCAACAATTTCAGCATACATTCATATATTATATATAAACGAAACTGAACTAAATAATAAATGAAAACAAGAACCACACCTTGACCACAATACCGGACTTTGCTTCAACAAGCGAGTCCCTAAGATTTTGAGCCTGGGCAGGTCCCTGGAAACACAACGCCATGTTAGCAGTATAAATTATAGTCCTACTCCTCTGTGCGTTCCAGTACATTCTTCCAGTTATAGTCTTGCTCGCATTCCAAAAACGAAACAAATCTCATGAAATCGGACCAAAACACTTACGTCGAACGGTCAAACAGAAGATCGGTAGCAAAATCGAGAGAGAGAGAAGAAAATGAAATCACCTGAAGCGGAGGAAGTTGATTGGTGGAGGATTGAAGGTGTTGGAGGCCAGCCGATTGGAGCCACCTGTTGCCGTTGGAAGAGGCATCGAGGAAGTTATCTGAGTACTGGCGCTGGTGGTTTTCACTCGCGAAAGAAGGTTTGGGTGTGCCTCTCAACTCCCTTCATTCTCGGTTAGGGTTTAATTCAAGAAAAACAAAAAAAAAATTGAAGAAGAAAGGAATTAGGGTTCCTACTTCTATCTCATATGATCGCGCTCTCCTTCGCTCACTCTTCGTCTATGCATGGAGGCCACTGAGGGGGAAGGTACGGAGGGGAAAACGTGATGTGAAGAGAAAAAAAATTATTCTGACAAAGATGGTTGAAAATAAAGAGAACATGAAAAGAGAAAGAAATGGAGGCATAACGTCAACTCAAAGAGAAGAGAGCCTGAAGATTCGAGACGGCGTGGATGCTTCGAGGGCTTCGAGACGGTGTGTTCTGTACTCTGCGCGATGAGAGATTGAGATCGGAAGAAAAGCTCTGCGCGACGAGAGATTGAGAGTTGGAAGAAATGAAATGCTGTCAGCTGGACTGCAGAGAGTTAAAGGGTTTTGCACTTATGATACGTGTTTCAATATCTCTCATCATGTTTTTTCTATAATTTCAATTTTGCCACCGTGTTCAACTATTATGATAGTGGTCTTTTACTTATCATAATATATTTATCTTTTATTACAAAGATATCACTATTACACCTATTATAATAGGTTTCTTAAAATATATTTTAATTTTATTACAAAATTATC